AAAAAAAAAAAAAAAATACTGAGTGATCTTAAAATGATCCCAGTTTTTTTTCCTCTGGGGGGAAAATGTGCTAGGACAGGAGGATGCAATCTTCATCTAAAATAAAAATAAAAGATTACCGTAAGGTATATACCTCCCCAAACCATGTTTCTACCTCATTAATACAACCAGGAAGTTGCCTGTAGATGACTCAGCAGAAGACGCTAACCACTGTAACCACCAAGTAGCTTAGTGCTAGGTGGGAAGTCAGAGAGGTGAGCCCTGTAAGTAAAACAGTTGGATTCTCTGCACTGGTAAGGAGGGACAGTAAGTCTTTGTATATTATGCTCCCAAAATATCTGCTGTCTTTACTGTACCCTAAACAGAGCATACCTGCTAGTTTGTTTCTTTGTTTTTCTACATGTTGCTATGGATCAATGTCAGAGTCTATAATTGAAAGTACTTGTGTATACGCTATTAACATCTCCTCCTAGCAATGGAGTTTTATGCTCGTATGGTGGAACCAAGAATGTTAACCAGCCATACCTCATTAACCCAACTCACAAGCAGAAATTGCAGGAATCACCATACCTCATTAACCCTTTCTCAAGAAAGAATTGCTACCCTCACCTCAGAGCTTAGAGACCCTTGAGGCAACAAATCACAAAGTCCCTGGCAAAGAGCATTTCCCCAGTTCTATGCTTTTAAATTTCTAGAATGTTCCTTTGATAACCTTAAGTAAATAGGGACAAACAACCTAATAATTCATCTTCCAACTCTGGCTAAGTGTGGAATGCAACATAGATCAGAGCCTTGGGGAGAAACCTGGCTCCTGGACTCTCTGGCGCCCCACAGGATTGAGTTTGGTCAAAACAATAGCATAGCCAAGAAAGTAGTCTTAGAAAAATGAAAAAGAACTTAGTCTTAGAAAAATAAAAAAGTTTTAAGGGATATACACTAAGTCTGCCTTTCTCACTCCAGAGCACAGTCCTGCAGATGGGACTATTTGAAAGAGAAAGTCACTACTAAAGCAGCTGTTTTCATTAAAGTTTCCTCAGGATCCTACTGTCCTGTCTTCAAGCAGGATCCTTCACACAGAGAAGTTCCCAGGCACTTCCTCACTTAATCTGAACAGCTTGAATTGTAAAAGCAACATTTTAAGTTGATGAGTAAGTCTGACATGATCATTGACCATTTGTGACTGCGTATGTGTGTGTGTGTGTATTTTTTAACTAGGAGAGACATTTAGGGCCACAATGCTAACAATCTAGCCTCAGTGATGAAAATAAGATGAATAGCATGTCTACATGTGAATTCTCCTTATTCATTTTTCTCTTCTTATTTTATGGGACTCTTCAGCCAACATAACTCATAGTTAGAATACTATTATATTTAGAACTGTTTCCAGGTAATTTAATCTAACATCATTTCCTTCCACTCCTAAGTAGTCTGAAAAGTTAAGAAAGGTCTGTTTAATTACCTGTTCCTCTGAGCTAACTTTACGTCCTTCTGATGACTCATTGCTCTCCTGAAAGGGGAAAATTTGTTTATTTTTCTTTTTAGTAATTCCTCAGGAAAGAAAAAAACATGATATACATCAATTGCTTCCAGTCTGGATTTACTACTTTCAAAATTGTAAAAGGCAATGAGAAGAGTGTTAAAGTTACTTCATGAGATGTTTATGACAAAAATAAATGAGATAGTTACCAAGGGTGGTGTTGGTGCCTGACCCAAATGATCCTGCAAAAAAGGAAACGAAGGAAAACAGATTATTCCCTTACAGATGGATTTCATTATTGAAATTATTTAGAATAATTTTAGGTGATTATTTTTAGTTTCTTGGTAGAGATCTTACATTTACATGAGTAATAATGAAATTTTATGATGAGATGGTTCAAAAAGGAAGGTAAAATGACTAATGGCTTGAAAAGATCTTGGGATATAAGAGATCTAGACTATTTTTATATTTCTGAATTTTTGTTTATAGAAATAAATACACTTTCTTTGAACCTGGCTGTTCATACAACTTAAAGGAAATGTAACAGAGGAAAAGCAGCATTGAAACTCAGAATCCAGGTTTACGTCTCAGTTAACTCACTGGTTTTGGTTTTAGCCCTGAAAACCAATCATCTTGGTGTTAGCACTGAAAGTTATGCATGTGTTCCAGGAAGCCCCTAAGTCCCAGGTAAAGCGAGATGGTTGGTTACTCTAGGTGAAGATGGGCAACTCACTTCACGTTTCTGACTGTCAGTTTCTTATTCATAAATTAAAAAAATTAACATCCACTGTGCTTACCCCACAAGGTAGTTACGAGGATGAAACCAGCTAATGCCTATGGAAGTATCTTGAAAACTATTTATTCAACATGATATAAACTAAAGAAATAATCCATTTTGAGAACATCTACCTTATAAAATTTCATAGTAAACAAAACTGAATTGAGAAAGCCATTAAACCTTTCTCGAGTCATGTAAATGCCCTGGTATTAAAAACAAATGCTAAATAAGAAATTTAACTAGTCATCCTTCTGATTTATTTCACTTTCTTTAGTCTCATAAGCACCATAAGAATGCCTTAGCAATTTCTGGCACCCCTCCCCAACACCTCTCCCCTGTCTCCTTGAGGAGAGCAAAGTCCTGTGTGGAACACCCAAGGCTCAAAGCAGAGCAGGGAGGAGCTGCTATTGATATGTCTTCAATGTGGGTCTCAGCGATGCTGGACTGGGGATATCTCCTTAGAGAAAGGAGGTATAATCACTCTGTCTTTGGCCTGTGATACTGCAGGCAGGCACAATGGCAGGCTCTGCTCCAGTGATTGGAATGAACGGGTGGAAGGGAGCAAAACATTGTTATTTTTCTCATGCCAAGGCTAGACTTGAGAACAGGGCTTGTTTGTGTGTCTCTGGTTAAATGAGAGAGAGGATCTACAGTGTATGCTTTTAAATTAACCAGCCTATGACTATTTCTGAAGAAAGTTCATAATGAATACTGCAAAGTCTATTACAGACTCAGGCAAGGGCAGGACCCCATCTCAGATAATTGACATTAACTGGCCACCACCAAAAGCATTGGGCCTAAGCTTTATCATATGTAAAAGCCAGCAGGAAACAAGGTAGTGAAATAACTGCTCTGATTTTGCATAAGATTTTAACCCTTAGTGCCAATCTTGAGAATTTTCGGACCTCTTAGACCTGACTCCTTCCTGAGAGGGATATGAGACACTGGTTAAGAATGTGGATTCTGGAGCTAGAGTAAAATAATCTCAAAGTCTGACTCTAACACTAACTAACCATGTAACCTGCACAGATTGAGTTACTCTCTGTACTCAGTATTCTCATCTGTAAAGTGAGAATAAAATATAATGCCTAATTCACAGAGGTGTGAAAATTAATAAAGTTAATATATGTAAAACACTCAGAACTGTGCCTGGCAATGATTCTTGAGTTACTGAGAGTTAATAATGATTGGTTCAATGACAGCCAACACGCTAGCAACATTAGCTCTTATTCCAGAGACTCTAGTGTCCTCTCGCCCTTCTTTCTTTTCTCACCTCCCAGGACTTGACCTCTTGCCTACCAGTTAACTCTTGTTAAAACAAATTTCAAGTCTAATCTCTCCTGAAAAGTCTTGGTTCATTGTCATCCATCCCCTGGTACTATTATACACATCCAGTACAAGCAGAAAGCTAAGAGAAAACATGCTTCCTTGCCAGAGTATACTACTAAGTTGGAATTGCAGCATTATCTTCTTCTATGAACTCTATAGCTTAGCTTATCAATATGCTCATTAAGTCATTAGCAGTTTCAACATTTGCAATGAAGTCAAATTGGTTATACTCATAATACACTAAATTGAAAAATTTCAAAAAGTCCTATTTCTACTCACCTTCCATTCCTCAGAACTCTCAGATTCATTATTTTGATACCTGGCCACCTAGAATATGTAGGACACATGGTAAATCCAAAGAGAAATTTCTGAAACAATAGTTATTAACACTTTTCATTCATAGGAGTAGGGATAGTCAAATTTTAGGCTACATCAGAATCACCTGGAGGCCTTGTTAAAATACCGATTTCTGTTCCCTGTCCCTACAGTGTCTGGTTAAGTAGCTCTGAGGTAGGACCCAAGAACTGAGATTCTCTTTTTTTTTTTTTTTTTTGAGACAAAATCTCACTCCGTTGCCAGGCTGGAGTGCAGTGGCATGATCTTGGCTCACTGCAACCTCCACCTCCCAGGTTCAGGCAATTCTCCTGCCTCAGCCTCCTGAATAGCTGGGATTACAGGTGTGTGCCACCAAGCCCAGCTAATTTTTGTATTTTTAGTAAAGACAAGGTTTCACCATGTTGGTCAGGCTGGTCTCAAACTCCTGACCTCGTGATCCATCCGCCTCAGCCTCCCAAACTGCTGGGATTACAGGCGTGAGCCACTGCACCTGGCCGAATTGGGATTTCTAACAAGGTCCTAGTTGATGCTGATGCTGCTGGTCCCAGGGCGACAGTTTAAGAACCACTGTTTATAGATAAGAAAAATATGAGTGATAACTATATGAATGGCAACTGAACAGAATAAGAAATAACTTTGATATTTTTTAAAACACAGCATTATAAGAAAGTACTATTTTTACTGTACTGGAACATACACAGCCATCTTGGTTCATAGCCAATGAAAATTGTGACGTTTTAATTATGAAAAGATTTTTTCATATATCCCTATCCTAATACTTACTGGGAGAGCACAGGATAATCCCCAAAAGAACATGAGCAGGATGCTGATCTTCATAGCTGGGTGTGATACCTCTACCTGGAATGAAGAACATAGGTGTTTCTCTCCACGTTAAAGAAATAAAGTAGCTTCAACTTTTTAACAGTTTCTTCCTATTAAAAATTGATCAAAATGCCCATGAACTGATGAATGGATAAATACAATTTACTATGTCTATTAAATGGAATATTATTCAACCATAAAGAGGAATGAAGTACTGATATGTGCTGCAAAGTAGAGGAACCTTGAGAACACTATGCTAAGTGAAAGAATCCAGATAAAAAGCCCACATTGGAATGATGAAATGTCCAGAAGAGGCAAATCTACAGAGACAAAAAGTAGATTAGTGGTTGGGTTGCCCAGAGCTTGTGCAGATGGGAGGTTGAGGGGTGATTGTTTATGGGTATAGGATTTCTCTGGGAGGTGATGAAGCTATTCCGAAATTGATTATAGTGAAGGTTGCACAACTCTGTGAATATACTAAAAACCACTGAGCTGTACACTTCAAATTGGTGAAGCATGTGGCATATAGATTAAAACTCAGTAAAATGGTTTTTAAAAACCTCACTCCTAAGAAATAAATTGAAAATGTTTCAATGAGGAGATCTATAAACACTAAAACATAAAGTATGATAAATTGAGGAGAAAGTAAAGAAAGAGGAATAGAGAATTTTTGTCCATTCACTTTTACAATAATTATGCAGCTTGGTATGGCAGAGCACCCTAGCAAATGTATTCCCCCTGGAAAACTATGCTTATTGACACCATTGATAGGTGGTAGGCATTTGTTTTCTCATACACACACAAACACACACACACACACACACACACACACACACACACACACTGGCTTCTAAGTCACATTTATGATTGCATAATAATGTCTACATAAAATAGATTTTGCTTTTTTTGTGATCTGCAAGAGATATACTAGAGTGAGCTTCATATTACAACTTCAGAAAGCTCTTAATATCTACTGTGACACATTTAGTCATGCATTATACATGATTGTGCTAAATTCTTTTGGCTGTCATTCACAGTACTGAAGGATTTGGGGAAGATTAGAGGTTTGGGATACACTTGTAAATCATGTTGAGAGAAATATGCCAAATCAAACAATTTTTCTGGAAAGTAACTTCATTTCACACTTCAAGAACTGTTGCTTTGGAAAACACTTTGTTCTATATTTAAAAATAGATGTACTAGATACTAAAGTAAAAAGTTATTGAAATGGCTTAAGAAAAGCAACTTACCCTGCACTAGTAAGCCTTGATAGCTACCCTAGCATCCCTGCCTGATGGACTTCCACACATTTCACAAATAATCCTGCAAGTTTGTTTTACTTTTGCTGATTTGTTCATTTTTTAAAGTGTTAAATGTATACTGTGAAAGGAAAATAAAATCTTGGGACCCCAAACTCACTAAGCTGGAGGGAAATTCAACCTAGGAACTGGGTCTCGCAAACCTGCCTCCCGTTTTGTTCTTAAAAAGCTACAAGGATAAAAGATTGCATACCTCACTTACAATTTTCTCACAGGGAAATTCCTTGTGGGCCCTGAGATCTTTACCATAAAACAGTCTGGGTGAATTTCACCCTCACAATGTAAATTAACAGCTTACCTTCACAAGGTCAGGATAAAGGACAGAACTCAAAGTCATCCCTCTCCTCACCTGAGACAGATGCATGTCTGACAGCCTCCTCTAGTCCATGTTTACTTTATCTTATGTGAAAATGCAGATTCACTGAGCATGAGACAAATGCATAATTGACTATTCCTCTACCCTCTCCTTTCACATATAAAATGTGGGTTCAGTGAACACTAAATAGAGACTCAAAGGAATGCAATCACTTACCTGTTTTATCTACTCTTCCTTTTTCTCCCCTTCCTCTTTCTACTATTACCTCCTCTTTCCTCTTTAAATACAGAAGTCCCCAGACCTCTTTGTAAAGTAACAGGGATCATGGATGCTTCTGGTGGTTTTGTGTTCCTTTGTCCCAGGTGCACCTCAGTTTTGGAAAGATAAGTCTCCAGAAATAGAGATTCACCTCAGTCATTTTCTTTGATTTGCAATATGCCACATGAAGGCCTCAGAAGCAAAAGTTTCTCTCTGACCTTCTCCTGCCCTCCTATCTCTGGCCTCTCACTCTCCCGTGAGACTAACCATAGAAACTAGAATCCCTCTTTCCAAAGGCGGGTTATAGAAACCAGAACCTCTTTTCCCCAAAGCCAGCAATAAAACCTAAAAATATTACCCTAAGTCCCCCTGTCTTTCTGTGTAACAACTGGCCATAAAGAAATTCTCTGACCCACCTTGTTTGATTGGAGGTCATAAGACCCCCATTCCAGGGAAGTTCCTGTCCCATATCAAGAAGGAAGAAATACTACATGGAGAGGCCAGGAAGAATCTGGACAGAACTTGCTGGGCCACCCTACTTGATCTATTAGTATAAGATCAAAAACTTTGTCCAATCATATTTCTGCATAGCTGCCCATGTTTAGTTGACATAAACATAAAAAGGACAATTTCTCCTGTATCTTTAGGTCTTTGTTCTGAAGGCTCCCATGTGGCAGAAAAATAAATTTGTATTTCTTTTCTCCCATTAATCTATCTTTTGTCAGTTGATTTTTCAGCAAACCTTCAGAGAGTGAGGGGGAACTTTTTCCCTTGGCCCCTAAACTAATGATAAGAGTTATAAGCCAAAGATTCTCAATCCTAACTGTATATTAGTATCACCTGAGAAGAGTTTTAAAAATGCCATTGCACAAATCCCATCCCAGAGCAATAAATCCATCACTTGGGTGGGCACAGGAATAGGTTTGTTTTTAAAGTTCCACAAGAGATTTTAACACTTGATCTAAGAAATAAGAATATCATAATCAGCCTGGAATGATGGCACATGCCTATAGTCCCAGCTACTCAGGAGGCTGACCAGGGAGAATTCTTTGAGCCAAGGAGATCCAGGTTGCACTGAGCCATGATCACGCCACTGTACTCCAGTTTGGGTGACAGAGCAAGACCCTGTCTCAAAAAATAAATAAATAGATAAATAAATAAATAAATTATATATATATATATATGTGTGTGTGTGTGTATATATATATATATATATATATATATATATATTGCTCAATAATGCCTGAATATGCTGAATATTGTCTGAAACATTGGGCTCAATAAGTCATCTAATATTAGTTTTTGAGTGTTGTCAAGGAAATAATAGAAATAGTAAGTTAAGGAGTCTGAACAGGCATCTCATTTCTGCTTTCACACAACTCAAATAGTCAAACAGGACCTCTCATGTATTTTATAGTCATTATCTCTCCTCAGCATAGTTATTCTTAATTTGTGCTACTTTCTTTATTCTAATTCAGCATAGTGTATATCAGTTCTTATGTTTGATATTGTCTTAATTTCTTTTAAAAATCCTTCAATTAATATCAACAGAGAAAAACATATGAAAATGATCAACTGCACCAAAATCAAGCCTATTTTATAGCTGTTACTTCTCTTTAGATCCCACAATTAAAACTTTTTTTTTTAATTTGTTAGGTTCGTTTCCTCGGGAAAGCAATATTTTCTCAAATATGATATTCTTAAAATAACCCTGTCAATGGTTTCAGCTTCACAAATCAAATGAAAATGAGGTAGCTCACCATTTTAATTTTCAGAGTGAGGCTGGGTGCAGTGGCTCACCCCTATAATCTCAGCACTTTGGGAGGCTGAGGTGGGTGGATCATGAGGTCAAGAGATCGAAACCATCCTGGTCAACATGGTGAAATCCCGTCTCTACTGAAAATACCAAAATAATTAGCTGGGCATGGTGGCGCACACCTGTAGTCCCAGCTACTCGGAAGGCTGAGGCAGGAGAATTGCTTCAACCCAGGAGGCGGAGGTTGCGGTGAGCTGAGATCATGCCATTGCACTCCAGCCTGGGTAACAAGAGCAAAATTCCGTCTCAAAAAATAAAAATAAATAAAATAAAATAATAAAAAAAATTTTCAAAGTGAAATTTGAATAGGGTTATCATTTCACGATTCTCTGAAAACTAGCAAATATTAGAGCCATGACAAAGGTCAGTGACTATTGAAGTCTCTTGTATTTTCTTTAGCTTCTCTCACCTAAATAATTAGAAAATTGGGGATGCCATTGTGCATTTATTCTAAACCAATGAATGTTGTGTTTTTTCCCAAGGAAATGCATGCCCCTAGTGCTCAAGTTTTTTAGGGATGGACTATTCTAAAACATAAGAAAGATGCACTAACTTGCTCAGGATTCTAGAAATATTATTTAGCACCCTGACCTAAAGCAATAATTTCCCAGGTGCAAGTCTAGTAAGCTAAAATAAAAGACAGCCTAGAGTGCTGAGAAAGCTGATGTTACCACCCAAAGAATACAATCCAACCTTAAGCATTGAAGAAAGTCAATCTTAAACCCCATATTAGGTTTGCATGTAGTATTTTTGATTAAAATAGCAAATCACACTGCCACGTGTGTACCTATGCAACAATCTTGCATGTTCTTCACATATACCCCAAAACCTAAAAAGCAATAAAATAAATAAATGGGAAAAAAATAAAAAATAAAAAAAAATAAAATAATTACAATTTTGTGAAGTGCATTTCCAAACAAGAGTTCCAAACTTTTATAAACATTTTGGCTACTATTCAAAAAAGAGTACAAGCAGATAGGCAGTAGCTGTATTCTGAATAAGTGTGAGCCACAGCTACAAAGCCTAAAAATTAAAAATCCAGAACTTTGAGTTCTTCTTCAATGATTAATGTCCTTCTACATTTCACTTGCTGCCATGCTACAGTGTGATGATGTAATGAAAGGAAATCAACAACTTGAGTTCCATTCACCATTTTAATTTTCAAGCAGTGTATTAGAGAATTTCTGCCTTTTTGAATTGTTTTCATAGAGCTGGAAAGAAACAAATATTTAGAATGTGGTGAAGGAAACTAAAGTCAAGATTGCAAGTGTAGGCTGGGTGCGGTGGCTCACGCCTGTAATCCCANATCTTTTTTTTTCCCATTTAT